AAAATGGAGGCGCTGAGGGACCTGGCCGACGACTTCAACGTGCGGGACCCGCGGAAGCTGTACCGACTCGCGAGGCAGCGCGACCTCGACGTGACGCAGGCCATGGCCTTCGAGGCGCTGAAGGCCGACGTGGGCCGGCAGGTGCAGGCGCCCCGGCCGCGAGTCTGCTGCCGAGGCCGAACGACCGGCTGCAACTTCAGCCAGAACACCCGGGGGAAGACCAGGTACGGCCTGGTGGTGATGGACGTCTTCACCCGAGAGGCTGCAGTGGAACCTCTGCAGAACAAGAACGCCGAGACGGTGGGCCGGGCCACCAAGCGCGCCGCGAAGGAGCTGACGGGGGACGACAAGAACTTTGTGGTCACGACAGACCTGGGCAACGAGTTTGCCACGCTGGACCGGGAGCTGCCCGCGGAAGCCGTGCACCGGACGAAGCGGCCCGAGGACCGCAACGCCATTGCCGTGGTGGACCGGGGCATCCAGACCCTGAAGAAGGACCTGGCCACTCGAGTCGCCAGGAAGGGCGGTGGGTGGAGCCAGCACCTCGAGCAGGTGGCGGACGCGTACAACGCTCGGCCCCACGAGACGGTGCACGCTGCGCCGGAGGACGTCGAGAAGCAGCCGGCCACGGAGTTCCGTGTGCTCCAAGACAACGCCGACCGGTTCCAGCACAACAAGGACCTCACGGAACGCCGCATCAAGGCCATAGAGGACGCGGGCGCCTTCCGAGCGCCGACGAACGCGGCGAGGAGCTTCAACCCTCAGGCTGAGGGCCGTGAGACTCTCCTGAAGCTGGCCCTGCCGGCTCCCCAGGGCAGCGGCAACGCTGCGGGCAGGCTGACTAGGCGTGGCAGACCGGCGGCCGTGAGGCAGCTGGACGACTTCCTGGGCCCGCCCCGGCCGAGGACAATCGACTGATAACCAGCTGGCAACTTTGCAGTACCAAAGTACGGCTGATAACGCTACTGACAACTTTGCAGTACATTTGAGCCAAAGACCGCAGCTCCAGCTGGCAACTTTGCAGTAACTCGGGCCTACTGTAAAATGATGTGTTTGCTGGAGATTCTTTTGAGGGGGCGCGGCCAGGTGCGACAGCAGTCGCACCTGGTCGCGCTGGGCCAAGTTTGCCCCAGGAGACCCCATTTGACTCGGCAGCAACACCCCCAGCATCACCAGCAACAGCGAAGCTGGACGTAAGATTTGCTAATGTCTGAGTTCCACTCACCCCCAGCATCACCAGCAACACCCCCAGCATCACCAGCAACAGCGAAGCTGGAGGGTCACAGCACAGCCAGGCTCCCGGCGAACAGCCTCGCTGCCCCCCAGACCCCCCCCAGAAGCGCCCTCCAAAAAAAAAGGGGCTGCAGCACGTCCCTTTCCCTCAAGTCCACAACCAACGTCACGTGCAAAAAGAGACGTGTCACGGCAAGAAAATCCATGCGTGAAAACCGTGCAAAAACGAAATTTTCAGAAAACGCAAAAACGCAAAAACGCATTTTTTCCGCAAGAACGCCTGTTCAGGGCACTCGGGGGACGAGGGGGGGCACGCCAGAACAGAGCCGGGTGACAGGGGACACCCGGGGAACGCCAACAGGATCCTTTTTTCCGCTCTCGCAGCCATGCGGGCCCGGGGAGGTCCGCACGGCCTTTGCACCCACGCTACAACGCCACGCCGCCAAAAAAACGCGATTTTTGCCCTCAAAATCCGTGTCATGCTCAAAAAACATGCCAAGTTCAGTGCACAAGTCTTCAAAACCCAGGCCGTGTTCCTACAAGGTTTGATGTCTCTTCAAGACCCTCGCACCCGTGGAGATGCCTCAAAAAATTGTATCCCGTCAAGTTCAGTCCACACGCCTTCTAAACCTAGGCCGTATTCCTGCAAGGTTTGACGCCCCTCCAAGACCCTCGCATCCCTAGAAAGAATCGTCTCCCATCAAGTTCAATGCACATGCCGGCCAAACAAAAACGAGCACATCCTCTCGACGTCAGCCAACCTTCCTGCCAAGCAGCTGGGGCCTGCGTAGCCCCCAGAGCTTGTGACAGCTCCACCCCCCCGAGCTTGTGACAGCTCCATCCCCCCCCCTGGAGCTTGTGACAGCTCCTGGCGCCTGCTCGGCACCCCCCCCCTCCCGGTGCCTGCTCGGCACTGTTCGGTGCCTGCTCGGCACCCTCCCGCTGCCTGTTCGGCACTCCCCGGTGCCTGCTCGGCGCCCTCCCGCTGCCTGTTCGGCAGCTTGGGTCCACATGAATCGTTCCAGACAACCACATGCCACAAAATCATGAAAAATAAAAATGTCAAGGTCAAGTCACGCAACTCCGCCATTTGCTCAAATAGCAAAGCACCACGCAAACCCCGTCACAACCTTCGATCCACGACACTGCCCTAAAGCGCACGCTCAACCACTTGTACAGTGGCCGCCACTTTCACAGTGGCCCCCTCCATGCCACTTGTACAGTGGCCTGCCACTTGAACAGTGGTCGCACCACCCGCCACTTGTACAGCGGCCGCCACTTTCACAGTGGCCCCCTCCCCGCCACTTATACAGTGGCCCCCTCCATGCCACTTGTACAGTGGCCGCCACTTTCGCAGTAGCCCCCCCCCCCAACACACGACACGACAGCGTCAGCTCCGTGCAATTAGGGTGCAATTAGGGTGCAATCAGGGTGCAAAAGGGTGCAATCCCAAAAGCGTGCAAAAACACACAAAAACAGGCCCAGTTGGGCGAGCCAGTATCGAAATGGAGTTGGGCGAACCAGTATCAAGCCCCACCACCTCCTACCGGTGCCTGCTCGGCACTCCTAAGTGCCTGCTCGGCACATCTACCTACCAGTGCCTGCTCGGCACTCCTAAGTGCCTGCTCGGCACATCTACCTACCAGTGCCTGCTCGGCACTCCTAAGTGCCAGCTCGGCACTGCCCACCCGCCCCCCCAGCGCCAGACCCTCGTAGTGCTTCGCCAGGATGTTCCACCTCACATCAGCTCGGCGAGGGCGTCACCTTCCTCAAGACAGGGGGTCAGGGTGCAATCAAAATAAAATTCCATGCCAAAAACATGCAAAACCATGCACACCAAGCAAATGTCATGCAAAAATCCACGCATCAAGATCCATTTGATGCCGCGCGCTTTGAGGCACCCGGGGCCGGAGCGGCCACCTTGATCGGACGACCTTTTTTTTAAACCAGCCTAAGAAAAGCAATCAAACCCAACAATGGCATCCTGGGCGAGGCAGCGGGAGCACATCAGGGAGGCGGTCGAGGCCGGATCGAGGGCCCGGGACACGGATGACGGAAGCCGTGTCTTGGGCTTGAGGCGGGGCGTTGCTCCAGCGCGCGGACGGGAGCGTCACCAGGGCCGGGGAGGCCTACTTCGGCATGCTCGGGTGGCAGCCAGAGTCGAGGACCTTCGACCCAAGGCAGCCGCTGGTCAGGGAGGGTGCGGCCGACTACGTGCTACTGCAGAACGGGCAGCGGGGCCTAGTGCGGCGGCTGCGGGAGGACGGCACCTACCAGCTGACGAACCTAGGGAGGCGGTTCTTCAAGAACAAGTACTCGCAGCACGTAGCACACATCCCAGTGGTCATCAGGGGGATGCGGCGGGCCGGCAAAAACGCGGGCCGGGCTTACGAGCGCAGGGACTGGCTCCCCGCAAATGTCCTGGGTGGAGAGGCCAGCCGGCAGCCCGACAGGCTGTCGGAGCAGCAAATACTGCAAAACGTCAAGCAGGAGCGGCTGGTTGCCGCGGGGGGACGAGGACCGCGCCGCCGGCAGGGCGCCCATCATGGAACTCAGCGACGAGACGTACTTCTACGACCCGGAAGGGGAGTGGGTGGTGTCCTCGGAGACGACGCAATACCGGAACAGCCGCGTACACGTAGAAACCATCCTGCGGCAGAGGCTGCGAGGCCTGCGCCGCGTGTCGTACCAGCTGCCGTGCTTCAACAGTATCCTGGAATGCGCATTCGAGGATTCCGGGGACAACGCCTGCGAGCGCGCGGGTCTTTCTGGAGTGTTCGGCGCACACAGGCGATGCCCAGACGAACTGGAAGTGGAAAGGTGCGGTAGTTTGCAGGATATCGCAGCAGATGGAGGGCTCGAACTTGGGGCAGTCGTCCAATTGTCAGCAGCTTGGGTCGTCGCAGCCACGTTGTCGCAAAGAGGCTTGCGAGGAGGCCAGCGGCCTGCTAGCGCTGACAATCTCATCGGATCCTCCATCTGCAAAGGACCCCGACCATGTGAGAAACACGCTGGACGCCACCTGGCCTGAACGTAGAGGCCGGAAACGCTAAAAGCAACCTGGCTGTTTGCACGTCGGCTTTGCAAACTTCGCCAACAAAGGGAGCACTCCCCACTCAGCATGCGAAGCACTACGACCGTCATGTCTTGTGCATGGTTTGCATGGAGAAGGATGGCTTCTCCGAGGCGTATGGTGTGTGGACACAGTGGGCCTGGTGGACCCAACAGTACTTAGTGGACGTAGTGGGCCGACCTTTTGGCGCTTGCCCGCTGACAGCCTAGAGTGTGAAGCTTTGCTGACGCACAGTTGCTTTTTGCCATCACCCGCCTTCCAAGACCAGTCGCTTTCTGCGGCAGGTGCAGAAGCAGATCGTTTTCACCACGCCATTTTTGGGGAAGCTTTTCTTGTGTAACGGGGTGCAAGGAGTCAAGGCCACCCTCCACAAGCCTTAAGCATCCTATGACAAAAACGAATCCCGGAGTGTGATTCGCCCCAAAACCCCGTCGGCAGGCACGCCAACATTTTTCAATTCAGGTCTTCTAAGCACACACACACACACACACGCAGACTCTAGAGATGCAGTTTCAATGGCTTCTTCGCAGCCGAGGTCAAAATAATTTGAATGGGGATTGCAATGAGAACCGACGCAACCCTTGCAACCCCGCATTACAAGCCCCTGTTCGTTCAGGTTCATGACCCCGCCTTGCAATCCCAAGCGCTCGCGGTGTTTTGGCTGCAACATGCACCAGCGTCCCACTCACATCCACTAACTCTGCTTTTTTCGCCGCCGCTCTCTGTATGCTGGTGGGACCAAAGAGCACGACAGCACGCGCTGCAGGTGCTCCGCCCCTGCTGCGATTAGCGGTGCCTCTGCAAAATTCTGTACACGTATTGCTTGTCCTTCAGTGATCCTGCGATTCGACACGATAAGGACCAGAGTATGCCAACTTGTTGGAAGGTTCATTGCTGAGAATCCCTTCAGCTTGGGCTGAATGTCTTGCTCGAAGTTCAAGTCCTTCTCCATACCCTCCACGCTAAATTTTGCATCTAAGCAGAACAAGAGCTTCTCGCCATTGTCCAGCGGGACAATGAGGAAGTGGTCGAAGTTCGAATTGTGATCTGCGGCCATGCCAATGGTCAGCAGCTCCTTCTCGCCAGCATCACAACTGAGCTGAGAAAAGTTCACTGCTGCCACATCTGTGCCACCTCTGACCCAACGCACTGCGAGATCTTCCCTCACATTTTTTCTGAGCAGTTCCTGGGCCTTGGTATTGGAGGCCTCGCTTCCAAAGACATGCTGCAGAACGGTATGGCCACCAAGAATCAGGCCCATGTTGCTTTGTGACAACGCAGCAACTCGCAAAGCTGGCGCGATGCCCGTGAGCTCCTCGAACTGCGTCCATGTAGGTGAGCAAAAACCTGTCAGTATGTCACGAACTTTCCTTTGAGTGCCCTTATCTATCTCAGTTGGAAGTTCGAACTGGCCTGCCGCAATCTGCAAGGGTGGCAGCGAAACAAGGAAATGCCGGTCTTTGGGTAAGACGAAGGCGGCGCCGAGACTCAGGCTGTCCTGCATAAATGCAGTTTTCAGCATCTCAGAGCAGATGGGCACATCCGCAACGGCCGCCTGAACGAGGCCCGCCGTCGTCCAGTAGCTGGATGTCTCATATTGGCGAAGACAGGACTGGGTGGGGTCCTGGTTCATTCCAAGTTCCTCTTTCGCAGAGGACCAACTGGCTAGCGGCCGCACACAGCCGCCGAAGAGCCCCGGCAATGACACTCCTTCGAAATTGATCTGCGCACCTGGAATCCTGTCCTGGAAAATCTGCTCCATGTCATCCTCTGCTAATACTGGCAGCCTTACATCGCGCAGTCGATTGCCAGAGGGGTTCAAGAAGGACGGTGAAAAAGCACCAACCACAAGACTCATGCGAGTCTTTGACGGCACAACGATCATGGTAACAAGGCCTTCCAGTGCGCTGAAGCTGAACCTCTGCACCTCGTCAAGAATGACGATTAGTTTGGCATCGGTTTGTTCAACATAGTCAGGAAGCTTCCACTGAGGATTTCCCATGTAAGCTCCAACAATCGCTTGGAAGAGTTTCGAGTTGCCCTGCACCTCGTTGTCAATGACCCGCGTTGCCCTGATCCCTGCCATGAGCCATAGGCCGCAGTACTTGCTGCATCGGAACACCTGGCCCATCTCCCCTTCCCTCAAGCTGTCGTCCTTCACGGTGTCAGTCAAAGCTGGGCTCTTGTATCCATTGCTGAAGGAGATGTAAGCGACTCTCAAGCCGGGCTCCGCTGCGCAGGTCATCTCGGCACTCCGGATCGCAACCTCCGTCTTCCCAGTGCCAAAGGCGTTGCCAATGCCGAATGCTGTGGTCCGGCCATCATCTGTCCGGGAAGCGTTTGGCAACTCACCCGGGCAAGGCAAGTCTGTTCCAGGCCAAGTGAGCCTCTCGCCTCGCACATACTTCCCAAAGCGTGGTGTCGGGCGTGCCCAATACTCCGCCCCCGCAAACTTCTTAACCAGCTTTTCCACATGCTCCTGCACACTGAGAAGTAGAAAACGGGGGCCCAAGAGGCAACAGAGCATCTTGGAGTTGGGAAAAATGGCGCGCAAGAAAACGAAAGGAGAGACCCTGTTCTTGCAGACCTACCCAAGACTTGCAAACCGACCAACGTCTGCAAAGCTCCTCGCAGGGTTCCCCTACCCAAAGACTCTTGAACATTGGGTAAGTATTCCATGTTGGGCACAAACCTCTAGAAGTCGAATTGTCAGGGCGGCTTTAAACGAGGTCTTCCCTGGGGCCGATCGCCTTCGCCTCCCATGAGCATCATGAGCAGGAGGGCAAGAAATGGCGGGGAACAGAAACCGAACAAACCAAACAATGCAGCACTGCCCATAGACACAAAGCTGGGAATGTGTGGCTGGGCTCAACCATCCGTTTCAGGGGGCTGCACACCGAGTCCAACTGCGCCTGCCAAAATGCAGCCAGTTTCCAAAAAAAGGAAGCGCTGGGCTCTGCAAGCGCAATCTGCGGATTTCCCGGTTCTGTGGGTGTGATGAGGGCAGCCTGCCCCACTCAGTGCATTTCCAGGGCTGGGGCCGAAATCAAAACCACACAACACGACCAACGGCACGTCTCAAAGAATGTCAACAATGCAGCCAGCTGGAGTCTATGAAAACACGAAGCGCTGCAATCTGCGCAAACGCAATCTGCGCAAACGCAACTCTGGATTTCCTGGTTCTGTGGATGGGATCAGGGCAGTCCCACAAACAACATTTTCGGGGCTGGGGAAATCGAAAACCACACACAACGACCAACTGCACGTCTTCAAAATTGTCGACCGGCAGCAGCGAACGACCTCCCCGAATGGCAAGGAAGGGCAACCATCGATTCATGGGCCTCCACACTGATTCGTTTCACGTCTGCCAACAATGCAGCCAGTTGAAATCTATGAAGACACGAATCGCCGCAATCTGCAAAAATGCTATCTTGGGATTTCCTGGTTCTCTGGATGCGATCAGGGCAGCCCCACCAAAACCATGTACGGGCCGCGCGGGGAATTTCAGAACCGCACGCAACGATCAGAGTCCCAGAACGCAGCCGGCCGGCGGAAGCGACCGACTCCGCCCGCCTCGGACTCCTTCGTCCGGCCGCTTGCCTTCGCCTCCTTGACCTCCGCCTCCTGCACCTCCTTCTTCGCCTCCTGGACCTTCCTCTCCGCCTCCTGAACCTCCTTCTTCGCCTCCTGGACCTTCCTCTCCGCCTCCTGGACCTCCTTCTTCGCCCTCTCCACCTTCCTTTCCGCCTTCTCCACCTCCTTCTTCGCCTCCTGGACCTCCTCCTTGGCCTCCTGCACCTTTGTCGCATTGCCCGAGTCCTCCGCCGTCTCCAAGACGGTGGCAGCTCGAGCGAGACGCCTCACCGCCATCGCTTCCTGCTCCTGGGCGCTCTCAACCTGCCGCTGGGCGCTCTCAACCTGCCGCTGAGCGCTTTCAACCTGCCGCTGGGCAGTCTCAACCTGCCGCTGGGCGCTCGCTGGCTGCTGTCGCGCCAGGAGCAGGTCCTGCCCAGCAAGACTCACACGCCGAGCAGCAGTGCGCTCGGACGGACGGCCTCTTCCAAGGCCTTTAGGGCTGCCTCGACAAACATGCAGCACAGAGAATGTCACGAAAGCGCTTGTGAATCTGACCTGTTGGTAAAACAAGCAAACACTCCTGCCTCTGCCACAAACTTCTTTAGCTGCTGCTTTAACTCAGGCTTAGTCGCCAAATCATTCCACTTCCCTGGATCTGTCAGCTGCACTTTTCCTGAGCTCAAAATTTCACCACGCCTGCTGCAACCAATGTGCTGCTAAAGCGGCGCATGACCACTTGCATGTCTTTCTTCGTCGCCGATGTGTTCAGCACCCGTTCAGCTTCTGAAATCACCTGAGCGAGAAAAGGCTGGGACGTCGCTTTCTCTGAAGGCCCGCCGCCTCCTCGAGATCGAGCCGGTCCTGACAGCCAACAAGCCCAGCGTTCAAGCCTGATGCACGTGTCCCCGGCCTCGGCACTGTTGTCCTGGCGGCAACCGGCAAAAGATGCGAACAGGCTTCGGGTCGGAGGAGTCCTCTTGCGCAGCCCCGGCGCGCCGAGCGACTCCGGCATGCAACGGGTGCCGTTTTGCCTGAAAGAGCCAAAGTGCAATCTGCTTGCGCCCGCGGGCAACTCTGAGAACTGGGCCAACATGCTGTCCTGGCACTCAGCACGAAACAAGAACATCCAAAGGAGGGACTTCATGCTCCTTCAGCCCAGGAACTCCTCGAGCAAAGTCCTGGGCGGCGGCGACAAGGGACTCCTGAAACCCGAAAACCTTCGAAAAAAATGTGTCCCAAGACCCAGGCCGTGCTCGGCTGCACGAGCAGCGCCAATGCAATCCCGAGAAGGCAGAGGCACATACCTGGCCGCTGCCTACCGCGGGCACGGTAGCGTCACAAGCTTGCCAGCCTCGGCTTTTGGTCCTGGTCCGCATCATCGCCATGGCTATTCGAAAAGCGCTTGAGCGGCCTGCGATTCCTCAAGCACTGGCACTAGACCCATCGGGCAACCATTGCGAGCTGTTGTTGTGTCAGTGTTGATGAGTACCCTCGAGCCAAGTTTCCAGAGCAAACACAAGATTGACTGGCTTCTTTGGCAACACCAACGCACGGGTTTGGATGCTCCTCCTCCTTTTCACTCGCGGCCTGAAGGTCGGTCGGGCCAAGCCTTGCAAGGCTTCGCAGCGTCCATCCGTCAGACTGGCTGACCCACATCCTGCCGCTGCATCAAAGTCCAAGCGAGATACCAAACTGGCCTGCCTGCAAAACAAGCAGCCGAAATCGGCACCGGGCCGCCAGGGGCTGAAGGGCGGGGGTTTCTGGGATCCCTGGTCCCTGGATGTCCCTGGGATCACTGGGGCCTCTGGGGTCCCTGGGTCCCTAGGGTCCCTACATTCCCTAGGGTCCCTAAGGTCCCTAAGGTCCCTAGGGTCCCTAGAGTCCCTGGGGTCCCTGCACACGTGTGCATCAGACGTCTCGCCAAGGCCCCAGAGTGCGCTCATCCCTGTCAACACACGGCGGGTTAAGGGACCTTGGGGAGTTTAGGGACCCTAGGGACGTTAGGGACCTTAGGGACCCTAGCAACCCTGCAAACCCTACCCTAGGGACCCTAGGGACTCCGAGGACTTCAGGGACCCAGCGACCCAGGGACTTCAAGAGATCCTTGGTGGCCCCAAGGGTTTTGGGGCTTGAAGGGATCTTGGCAAGAACTTCACGCCGGGTACCACTCAGCCTGGGCATTCTCCAACATCATAGAGTCATGCAAAAACACAAAATGCCGAAGCCAAGACACACACACACACACACATTGCAAATGGGCCACAACACCACAACATCATCTCCCGACTACAAACACGGATGTAGAAAACACCATGTAGAGACATACCAACATAAAGGCACAAAGACATAAAGATCTAAAGATATAAAGAGAGAGGTATAAAGATACAAAGATATAAAGATATGAATTTGTAGAAATACAAAGATATAAATGTATGAAAATTCATAAAGAGACACAAATACGTAGAGATATGAAGATATAAATGTATGAAAATAAATATGAGTACACGAAGATAAATAGATGTATGGCAAGTTGCTCGAATGGAAAAACAACAGAAGCTTTGCCCTTCCGCGCGTCTTTGTGTCCCCTTGCGTGGCAAGCTGCAACCAACCGAAGCTTGAGAGATGACTTCACACTTCACAGGATCTCTTGCCCCCAAGAGCCAGGGTTGCTGGGGTCCCTAAGGTCCCTATGGGGGCCCTAAGGTCCCTTAGGGTCCCTAAGGCCCCTAGGGTCCGTAAAGGTTTCTGGAATCCCTAAAATCCCTGAAAACGCCGTGTGTTGACAAGGATGGATGCACTTTGGGACCCTGGCCAGACGTCTTGATGGAAGGACGTTGCTTCATGGCACCTGCAGCGGACGCACGCGTGCCCAGGGACCCAGGGACCCCAGGGACCCCAGGGACCCCAGGAACCACAAAGATCGCAGGGACCCTCGGGACGGACCGTCAGGGCTTCACTGGGTCAAAGATCAAGGGGGCTGACAGATTGGTGACAAAGATCAAATGACAATAACCTGCACGGGACGTCTTGGCCATGACAATGGAACGCGGCGAGGGCCCGGGCGGAAGCTCAAAAGTTCGCAGTGCCTGAGCGCCAGGAAAAAAAAAGATTTTGAGGAAACCACGCTGCCTGACTTACAAAAAACCTGACAGTACGACTTGACGGGGTTGGGGCAATCGCTCTCAAGGTCAAGGGTTCACCAGGTTGGAGAGACAATACAAAATGCGGGCCTGGCTCAACGAGGTCACGATTTCCAAAGATACACGGGCCTGACGGCGCGGCTTGACGGGGTTGGGAAAAGCACACAAAAAAGCAACGCGAGTCGCGCAAATCCTGGCACGGGACGGGGGGGGGTGTCCGGGCCTCGCTAGGCCAAAGATCAGGGGGCCTGACAGATTGGCGAGTTGGGACCCAAACCTCAAAGATCAGTTGGCATTGACGAAGGTCCGGGCAGTATGCCTCGATGTCAAAACAAAGCCTGGCACGGGGAAGCGCGAAAACACGACCTTCAAATCCAGGACCAAACCTGAAACACTGCTCAAAGGCCGAGTTGACACCAATCCGCACAGGTGCCCAGCCAAAGAGTCCCCAGTAGCACGAATTGGATCCACCTGCAAGCGGCCAACAAAAAGTGACAAAAAGGCAACTCCAAAGCGCGGCGCTGCGAGAAGATCTGCACGTCGAAGTCTGGGCACAGGGCACGTGAGGTCAAGAAAAAACTGTGAGTCTGAAACCACGCCTTTGCACCTGCGAGCGGTTCCCTGCCGCCCGACCCCAGAACGTCCCCGAATCTCGCCTTCACAAGGCTCACGTGCTTGGGGAAGCTCTTTCCAAACACGACCGACAACGTGAAAATCGTGAGAAAAACGCAAGGCAACCTGTCATGCAAAATCACGCTCAAAAACCACGCAAAGCTGAATTTGCGGAAAAACAAACAAAATGGTGTTTTTTTTCCGGAAATGGCGGCCCTCGAGCCGCGTGAGCCGAGGGCCGTCCCTTTGGTCGGACCATTTTGTTGTCCGCCCGATAGAAAAAGGACCGGCAAGCAAGAGTCAAGATGACTACCATCGCCACTAGGGCAAGCAATGCGGCCTGGTGGAGGTCCGCGACCTGCAGGTGAACCCCGGCACGGGCGGGACTCTTGCCCCTTCGAAAACTGCGTTCTTTTTATCGTGGATGTCAGACGTAAGCGAGCGCGCCCGTAACTGACCCCGGCGGTCGAGAGAACAGCGAGGCCCCGGGGCACCCAGGGACTTAGGGGGCCTAGCGGACTTAGGGGGCCGGTTCGGCAGCAGGGCGCTCAGCTCCTTGACGAGGTTGCGCAGCCTCCAGCAGCAGAGGAATTGCATGTTCACCCGCACGGCAGCGCTGATGAGCCTCAGCTTCTGGGAGCTCACCCAGGTGCTAATCTGCATGCGACGGCCTCGGATGAAGAGCGTGTCAAGGGCGCCGTGCGGCTTGTGGAGCTTCGGTGTGTCAGCAAAGTCGTCGATGACTGGTACAGTTTCTTCATTTCCAACTTCTTGGACGCTTCCGTGATCTTGCGCTGCTGCTGGATGATGCGCCGCAAGGCGGACTCATCCCACTCGTCTGCTCACGCTCCGTGTTCACCCCCAGGTCCTGCTCTGTCAAGAGACGGCAAGGTGACGTCCCGTGGGACGCTATGCACCGAACCCTCCAGCTGAAATACCAACCACGTAGAAAGGTGTATACGGACGATGCCGTTATAGCCGAACCCGTGTAAACTTTGTAAGGGAGAAGGAATGATAGTTACAACAGTGGTCCTGACAAATGCAGCGCAAGCGAAGTGTTTTCCGCTCTCAATGCCGATCACGTATGTATGCAGCTACACATCAGATCAATGGAACTTGGTAAGCAACACCAACATGGACCTCAGAACAGCTACCCAATTTCGGCACGGGGCCTAGAGGGTTTTAACATCCCCCATTTGGGTCGCATTGTTCATCATGCGGTCCAAACATCACAAAACGTTCCACTGGCCACGGCTTCAGCTACGAAATCGTGTCGTGCATTCTTTTGCTTGCTATCACTACACCGTTCATTCGTTGTGAAACATGCCGGGTTCGATTGTATGAAAAAGTGAAACATTCATCCACTAATCGAAGCGTACTCCCATATGCAGGTGTATGCAATACACTATCGTCACGTCATTTGACCACCAATGAACAATCCAGCTGCCGCATTTGCGCATCGCGCAGCTGTCATCCATAAACTGGGTTGGCCACAAAAGTCCATCAGAGGCGCCTGCTCGTAATCAGTCTGCATATCTCCGGCAAGGAAACATCGGTGAGCAATCAATGCAAATCATAGCCATTCCAGATACCATGGACAATGCATAAATAATGAAAAGGATATCATCCATAAGGTAATAGTTCCATCCATGAATATCCGGAGCGTCATAGTCATCGGAATATGTAACCATGTACATATCCAGTCATCTTGGACACATAAATTTAATTCATGATATAAAGTCGTTCCATCGCAATAGTGTCGATGAGACGCAAGTGACAGATGGGGACTAACCCACATCGTACCGCAATCAGCATCTTCACGACGCATACCTGTCCCCAATGGACAACCTGTGAGTGCGTCGACGGAACTCCTCGTCCAAGTTCTTCTGGGCTTCTCGTGCCCGGACACACTTCTTGTTGTGATCTTCTGGTAGCCAGTGCCCTTTCCGAAGGCACCAATCCAGCAGAGGTGTGTCGCACTTGTTCGGGTCGATGGCCGAGATGATGGCGCTCACGTTGACCGTGTAACCATTCTTGCCAAGGTTCAGGCCATCCCTCACGAATGATATATACTTACAGTTGAAAGCCAGTGCAAAGCATCTGAAAATAATATCACCCACCGGGCGCACTCGGTCCTTGACCAGGAGCTTCATTTCGTCCTTGGTGACATCGAGGATTCTCGCTGCAATCCACAGCTTGTAGAATGTGTAAAGTCCCTCGCATTTGCACACCATCATACGAATATAATCTTCACGCTCCTCAACCGATCGGAAGGATCTTGTCCGAACGTTCTCCGATTGAGAAATTTTCTTCGCTGTTGATGGCAAGAGTATACCTTCCTGATCGTGTTCGGTGATGTTGGGGTACCTCTTGAAGTCATTGTGGTAAGGGCAGCCCTCGAGCCTGGCGTTCATCGTTCTCTCCTCACCACCCTCAAACATCCCCCACATCTTGGACATCTGGAGTGCGATAAATCCCGCCATGTACTGAGCCTCACGCGGCTCATCAAGGCAGATCGCCATCCGCTGGGAACTTATAATGTCCCGTGACGCCAGATCAGTGTCGCGATTTTGCCAACCGCTGTCTTCCTCTTCTGACGCATAGCCGGATGTATATCCTTGCGTGTCCATGTCGTCATCTTCTCCCGGAACTTCCTCCGCTTCGTCTTCGTCCTCCTGTGCCGCCGCATCGTGGTTGGCTTCTTCCTGTGCACGCCTGGCATCTCCCGAGACGTTGGGGTTTTGGTTGTCCTCCTCGTCATCGGAGTTGATGTGGATGTAGTACCTCCCGATGAGATCATTTGTGCTTCGCACTCCAGGCATAAGCAGAAGCAGGTGGGGATTGCGGTCGCACATGATGGACATATCCGGCACCTCAGTCCTTCCCATGTCTCATCGTTCAGAATGACGACTTTGCTGACTTCGTCCCGGACCTCGTTGACCTGTGCGTTGAACTCCTCCATCTTGTCGTTCGATGTTCGCAGGCTCGATCAACCATATCTATGATGTAGCGCAGATTATCGGCACCTGTCTCGGTCTCCGGCATCCTCTCGCTGATCTTTGTGACGTTCTGGAGGAACATCGCAGCGACTCTTGGGATGCGTTGACGAAGCCAGGGCAAATCTCGTTCTCCACACACTTCGAGTACGCCCTCTTGATGTCAACGTACTCCAGGCGTTTCCCCCCGTTGCTCTTGCCAATCCAAATGGACTTGACTTCATAGAACGGGATCACGTCAAAGACCATGAATGTCCCATTTGCCGCGACTCCAGCTCCATACCGCGCGAGGGTTGCACTGGAAATGTAGATGATCGCAATCGGATCCCCCTTCCTTACGTTCCGCAGCGTCGTCTTCGTCGCTACGTTCATCTCATCCCAGAAGTGCAGCGCTAGCCTGTTACCGCCATCGATTCCGCCGGGGACTAACCCACAGCGTACGATGCTTGGCAGATTTTCCACATACGTCACATGGAATGCTCCTCCGAGAGAATCACCCATTCTTGCAGAATATCTGTTTGCCAGTGCGGATGAGCTCATGAATCCAAAATCACTGTGACCTTTTTTGTCACGCGCGCGCCTTGGGGCATTAAGCCATCGGTCACGAGAACGACTATACAATCATCGAAAGTGAGACGGGTGAGACCGAGAGGGACAAAGTGCTGGTGAAATGAGCCAAACAAAGGAAAGGACCGAAAACACAACGCGGCAGACCACCAAGCAACACAACACGGAACCAAACGAAAAACCTTTCCCCAGCCGAGCAGAACGGAAAGAGACGAGCCAACGCGGCAATTAAAAGAGAGAGCGTGGAACATAGTTCCAGAAGACACTGACTACACCGAGGAGCTAGGCTTGTGAAGCATGAGCACATTAAAAATGGGAACATGCGCGCTCCAGACCGCAGGGGGCACATTTGCGCATCGTCAACCCCCATACGTGGCCACACGGCTGGAGCAACGAGCGCAATGTTCCAAAAATTTGGCAAAGCAACACACAGAAGAAGAAGGCAAAAAGGGCCAAGCAAGGGCCAGCAAAAGGCGAGCATGCAGTAAATTAAATTGTGCACAGGCATCACCCGGAGCACAGAGGCAGAAAGAGATTACTCTCTCACTGACATCGAGCGGAGTTGCTATGGCCAGGCAAGTGTGACGGGCGTCACAGGCCTGGCCATCAAGCATTGCACACAAGACAAGGGGTGAGCGTGCAATGCACCATCCAGTTTGCACTATATGCTACGCAATTTCCGCAGGGACAGCGATGATCCCAACCGATAGTGAGGATGGGAGCCAAGCGCTGAAGCATTTTTACAAGTGCGTAGGTACACCGTGGCAAAATGCACAAGCCAAGGAGATCTGGCCGTGCCAAATACACCAGAGGCATTCTGTCCCATTGCGTAGGCATCACGTTCGCACCACTGACAGGGGAATCCCTGCCACAGTGTACGTGAGCATGGCAAACCCGACAAGGCACCATGTCTGTCGCAAGAGCGTACCTAGCGGAGTAGCGACCATTCAAGTGCAGGTATGATGCCTATAGGCATGGAGATTAGTCACAGATTAGAGGGCGGCTCAAACTTAGGTGGGTGCATATTCATCGAGAAGCAAAAGCACCCGCCATAGGGTGTGTGAGGCACACATCTTTCCAGGAATGTTTTAGGCTAGGACTATGACCGTCCAGAGGGGGTGTCACGCCTAGGAGCATAAAACAGGCGAGCGGGTAAGAGGCCAGAAGGCCTTGCCAAGCAAAGCACATCAAGGACCTCAGGGCTCATTGAAGGGAGAGAGGAGCCTCCAATCTGCAACCTGAAATCGGCATGTTGGTCTATGGGTTGATGCACAAACACTCTGTGTTGCAGCGCGAGCAGTAGTCCAGCGGGATTACCAAGTGGTGTGTTAGGGTTTAGGGTGCGCTGATCTGCATGTCTTACCAGATTGCGGCACGACCAGGTTGGCCAAGTGCGGAAGCACAGAACAATGCACCAGGCAACAATGCGAGT